CTCTTGAGCATCTCTCGTTTAGTGCAACTATTATACAGATGAGCTTGGAAGGTTTTATTAGTGGAGAGATGAATTAAATTGAAACCCTTGAGCTTTGTGTGTGCTGATAAAATTATGTGCCTGCCTTGAAATGCAAATCCTTTAATGAGTCACCATCACCAAGTACGCATTTATAGATGAATCCCTTGCTGTACAATTCCCTTTTTTTCACACATACCAGTGAGATTGAAGAAAAATATTCTAACTATAAAAGTTTTCACCCTGTTCTTATTAAGAGCCACGATCGTGATTGAGGCTGTGTGGCTTCTTGGACTTTCTCTTCTGATCTAGCCAGGTATCACTGAAGGCCTTGTGTTCGTGTTCAGTTGAACCCAATCCGAAGGGTTGAATAAACTATATCTCTGAAATTTCCTTCTAAATGTTTGGCAAAACAAAAAAACCTCAGTTTCATATCTCCTATATTCCCATTAGCATAGATTTGCATTTTCCTTTGTACTAGGATAAGATAGATTCTAAAACATAAACAATTGCTAAAATTTAGCAATAAGCATCACTATAACAGGTTTATCTTATTTTTTTGAGCACAGGAGAATTTTAAGCTGAATTTGATTTGTTTGGGATATGAGTGTTAATAGCATATTCATCCCAGCCCTATTTAAAAGGGAAAAATTGGTATTGTTCAAGCGAGAAATCTTCATAGAATCTCAGGCAGATTGCTTGGTTATGAAAAGAGTGAGGCAGCAACTGCAGCTATTATGCTGAGATGGAGAATGTACAGAGGCGGGAATAAGCATCCAAGACTCTACTGTGGGTCTTTTCAAACAGCAGGAGCCATGTGGTGAGGAGCCACAGACGGGCCATCTCTCAGAGTCCCACCTAAAAAAGGCACAGAGAATCCTCACAGAACTTTCCCAGCAAGAGTGCAGTTTATGGAAATCATTTGGGTTAGAAAAGGGGTGCCATGGGGTACTCTTTGCTGTCTATGAAATGAGATGATGGCTTAGCTCAAGGGGAGGTGTGATTGAGTGTCTGCTCCTGAGAAAGAACAAGAGTTCCGATTAATTTCTCACAGGAGATGAATAAGCAAACAGCTTGAAGATGCCTGAGAGCAGAGACGTCTCCTGTCCTTTGCATACAGCTCTGGCACTTGCATGTACTAGGGGCCGCCTCCTCAGGGACAGGTCAGGGGTGTTCAGGGGCCCCCAGATGAAGCCACAATATGCCCTTCAGTACCATTTACAGTCTGCTTCCCAACCTTTGGGGTCATTTTATTGTTCAATTACTAAGTCATGTCCAACTCTTTGCAACCCCATGGACTGCAGCACTCCAGGCTTCCCTGTTCTTCACTATGTCCCGGAGTTTGCTCAGATTCATGTCCATTGAGTCCATGATGCCATCCAACCATCTCATCCTCTGTCGCCCCCTTCTCTCCTCTTGCCACCAATCTTTCCCAGCATCAGGGGCCACTGCATCTAATCTGAGACTGTGTGCCACACATGTCCTACCTTCCTGGTTTTGCTCATGCTGCTCCCCCAACTAGATAAAACCTGTCTCTACCCTTGTGTTTCCATCTATCCAATATGCCCAGAGACCAGTCTTTTCTCCCTGTAGCTTTCCCTAATAACCTGACCCCCACCTCATATTTCTAACATAAGGTCAAAGTATGCAGCATTATAAACCAGTGTCTTGTGTACATTGCAAAGCGATACTGCCAAAGCTACAGTTAACCATCTAACAGCATACCGGTGGCTCCCTTCAGTCTTTTCGCCTCCCTTCCAACCTTCCCCTCTGGTAACCACCAGTCTAGCTCTCTGTATCCATGATTTTATTTTTAAGTATAGCTGACTTATAATATATTAAGTGCACAGCATAGTGTTTTAATACTTTTATAGATTATACTCCATTAAAAGTTATTGCAGAGACTTCCCTGGACATCCCGTTGGTTAAGACTCTGTGCTTCCACTGCAGGGGGGTTTGATCCCTGATCAGGGAACTAGATCCCACATGGCTCTCAGCATGGCTGAAAAGTTAAAAAAAAATTTTTTTTTCCCTCATTTCACAGGATTAAGATGAAAAGTTTAAAAAAAAATTTTTTTTTTCCCCCATTTCACAGGATTAAGATTAAGGAAGAATTAAAATAATTGAGAATTTTTTTGTAAACTCAAGAATAATATATAAATGATAATTTGATAATTAATTAACGTCACAATGCGGATGTCTGTGAAGGCAGGTGAGAGTGTCTTACACATTGTTGTCCTCTCGGTAAATGTTTGATAATAGAAAGCTGTCCTCTGTGTTCTGTACCAGCGCTTAGCAGCTCTGCTGAGAGTAGATTTTCAATCATTTGACTGCTGAACTGAAATAAAGTAGGCAGTGGGTAGAGGACAGAGCCTGATTTTTATACTGGGGAATTTAGGATACACAGGAAAGGTAGCTGATATTGGGTGATGGTGCTGGAAGGGATGTTCTTGAAGTCCAGGAGGACCCCTGGAAAAGTTTTGTCTAGGGCTGGAAATCAAGCTCCTGTGGCTGGTGAAGGTTAATAGCATCCGGAGCCTGCTATTTACATATTACCAAATCTACTCTTCACACTTCTAAACACCCACGGATCTGTATATTCACATCTGTGCCTACACACTTCTATTATCTTTTTAAAACCACTTCAGCATGCCTGTGCTATGTTGCTTGCACCGCCATATTACATAAGTGGACACAAAGAAATTCAAATGAAATAGAAGACAAGCAAGGCTGTTTATAATTCTACCATTCAGGTACGTGTCTGCATTGGAAGGTCATGGGTGATCTCGTGTGTTTGCAAATGCAAACAGCTTTCCAAGGAGAGTGGAGTAACGTTTCGAGCTCTCTGAGCAAGGTGCAGTGTAAGTGCAGACAGAACGTAACTGCCACCAGGTAGAGAAGAGTCTTAGGAATCTTCCCTAAGGGGCGACCTTAACCTACAACGATCACATGTATGTATATATACGTGACAGAGAATGTAAGGAAGTCAGGTGAGGAGACACGCCCACGATTCAGCCAAGAGAGGGCTCTCTAGTCCCTTGTAAGGTCTGCATTTTAGCCTCAGGAGAGTGAAGGGTGTGTGGACAGAGCCCAGGACTGCTGCTCAGCACGTGTCCCCTCTTCCATCGCTGGGTTCCTAGCGTAGCAGCAGCATGTGTCACCTCCAGGAGGATCTGACTCGAGCTAGTCTTGGTCTTCTCTGCTGGGCATTGGAAACACTCGTTCCCAGCTTCTCAGTTCTGGCCACGGGGATGTAAGAGACCCTGCTGAGTTCTTCTGAGAGTTACTTAGTTTCAAAATAAAAAGAGACAGAGGGTTCCCTCCTTCCCTTCTGGCTTGGATGAATACTTGATGTCTGGTGAAGCAGGAGCCATTCTGTGCTCAAGAAGCAGAGGGCAAGGGAACCTGAAAGGCAACAGCCCAGGCCCCTGTCACTGAACCCGGTGGTTTCAAGGTGGCTCTGTAAGTCACCACCATCTTAGTGGGACTTCTCTCTGGTCAGGGAAGGCAGGTCAGGGCTTCACATCTCTCCTGTCAGACTGAGGCTGCAGAGAAAGGGACTACCTTGTGCAGAGCCAAAAGCCAGTTCAGCTGACACAAGGTGGTCCCTCTCCGGGTGTTTCTTGGAACTCTTTATCCTAGAGCAAGTTAATCTCAAAACCAGGGTTTGGGGACGAGGTTACACATGTGACTTCTGACTTCTCCAGTTTACACAGTGAAGATTCCATGCCTTCAGAAAGTCAGTCAGTGAACTCAATTATTAACGGCCTCCTAAGATACCACTATGTGCTGGGCACCCAAGACCAAGCTAGAGGCCCTGCTTTCCGAGAGACAGACATGAAATAAACACTCCACCAGGCAGTAACCACAGCTGGGGGTCAGTGCTGCTGAGGGTGCCCTGAGAGTGCATCGCTGGGGTACAAGGCTGGGCATGACAGTGATCAGAGGAAGCGACCCCGGGGGGAGGGGGAAGGAAACCAGTCCACTCCCAGATTCTTCAGGCGGGAAGCCAGGCACGCAGGAGGGAGGGAGCAGAGGAGACCCCAGGAGACTGAGGCAGAAGAAATGAGGGAACTTGGCGATTAACTCATGTGGATGGGAGCGGGGCCAGAGTCAAGGCCTTTCAAGGGCAAGAACTGAGAGCCAGTCTGTTTAGCCTGGCCACTGCGGACTCAGAAACCCAAGACAGGCCCGCTTTTGCTTTTGTGTCCTCTTCCTCCCCCTTCCAAGCCCACCCTAAACTCCACTTTACACCTAGAAGTAAACACTTGTGTAAGGAAGCGAACGAGTGACTCAGGTCCTAGGACAAGATCTGATGGAGAAGTAGTCAGAGCTCTCAATGGATGGGACGCTGATTGAGTGTCGCTAACGAGTCAATTCCGCCGGCGTCAGCAGCCAGGCTGGGTCTGGAGACTGAGCTGTGAACGACCGCTTCCCCAAGGGGCCTTCACAAATCTGGAGCGAGGTCACACTGACCGCGCCCCCCTTCCACTGACAGTCAGGGCACTTCTTAATAACGCCGCCCCTCAGCATCTTTCAACCATACAAATGGCAACATTGGACAGGAGTTTATCCTTCCCATTGATGCGGAAACATCTGACCGATCGCCTACTTCCTCGTCCTTTCGTCCCCCAGCTCATAACTCTGATCTCAGATTCACCCACTGGTCTAGTGACCCAGGGCTTGCCTCTGCGGGATGCAGGGGCTGCCCGGCGACGCGGGCGCAGTGGAGGCGGGGTCTCCAGGGACCGGGGGCCGGCGCGGAGCGTCAGGCGGCGGCGCGGCGGTGACGGTCGCCCGGGCCCTCCGGCTCCGCCCCCAGCCCGCCGCTGCGGGAAGGGGCGGGAAGAGGAGGCGGCCGCAGCGCCCCCAGTGCGCCCAGCCCTTTAAAAGCCGCGGGCCTGGCCAGCCGTGCCGGCCGCCGCGGTCCTCGTGCACGGGTGTCCCCGCGCTCCAGAGCGCGCTCCGTGCGGCCGCCCACCATGTCCGGGCACTTTCTCCTCGCTCCCATCCCCGAGTCCTCCTCCGATTACCTCCTGCCCAAGGACATCAAACTGGCCGTGCTGGGCGCCAGCCGCGTGGGCAAGAGCGGTGAGTGCCCCAGGGACAAGGGGGGCTCTCCGCGGAGCGGGGGAAGGCAGGGGAGACCCTCTCGTGTCCGCGCGCGTGCCGGCCTGCCGCCCGCCCCGCTAGCCTGGCTTCCCGCGGCTTCCCCCGGAGCATCCAGGCCCGGGCCCTGGCCAGTGGGCACCTGTGTGGTGGCCGGTGCGGCGGTAGCACACCCACGGCCGCACCCGCCTCAAAACTTGGCGGAGGCCACGGCCGCGCACTGGGCTCTGCGGAGCCTTGAGGATGCGCGCGGTATCCGCGGCTCCGCGGCCGGTCACGCCCTCTTTACCGACCGGTCGGCTTCGGCAGTCTCGTCCTAGTCCTGCAGCTGAATTTTCCTCTTTCCTTTTCAGCGATGATCGTGCGCTTCCTGACCAAGAGATTCATCGGCGATTATGAGCCTAATACAGGTTAGATTCCTTTCGCGCTGTTGGGGCTGCGTGCTCGGATTTTTGTTTTTTGTTTTTTTCCTGACGATACTGTGAGAATTTAAAACCCAAGTCTCTTTAATCCTCCAGGCAAGTTGTACTCGCGGCTTGTGTACGTGGAGGGAGACCAGGTCTCCCTGCAGATCCAGGACACCCCCGGGGGCATCCAGGTAAGGACTGCGGGGAGCCGCTGGCCCACGCGCTAGCGGACGCCGGAGCCAGGTGTCTAAGCGAGCCGGTTGTGCCCTGAGATGCAGGGGCCTTCCCAGGTGGCGCTAGTGGTAAAGAATCCGCCTGCCATGGCCGGAGATGGAGGGGTGGGCCGTCCCCAGGTGGGGCCCAGTCGTTGGAGAGTTAGAAACTGTTGGTCACAATAGGGGGAGGGGGCGGGGGCGGGGAGAGGAGGTCGTTAGAGGTCGCCCCCTCTTGTCGGCCACCTCGGAAACGGGGAGTCAGGCTTACCTTCTCTCTGCAGCAGCAGCCCCGGCATCACTGGTTACAGCGATCCCAGGAACTTTGTAAGAGTTCAGGCTCCAAGGCTGAAACTATGAAACTATGGGGTGGGACTCTGGAGAGGGTCTTCTTTCCAGGAGGACCCTCGAAGCGCTCCCGTTTCTAGCTGTTTCTGCAATATCTGCATTCAGATATCCCCTGGGCAAGCTGTCAGGAATGTAACTTGATTAACAAGTTACTAATTGCTTTCTGTTCTAGGGAGGGAAGGTCTGAAAGAAGGAATTTGTTTCTGTAACATTCTCAAGAAGGATTTGCTAAAAATATTTTTATGGGTTTGGGAATAGATATTTATCTTGGCTTATGCTCAAAGATTTGTTTGTTGGAAGTTAGTTCCCTAAAAATTGCGCCATCCTGAGTTGAAAGTTCTCACTAAAGTCCTTCTTCAGTCAGTCCTCCAGGGTTCATCACAGACAACCTGCCAAGCTTAAAAGTGATAAAAGGGTAACAGCTCAGAAAATAACCCAGGCCGGGACCCTGCCTGAGAATTGGGTCTTTCCATGTTAAAAGCCTCCTGCAGAAGCCAGGTAGCATCTGAAAACTATATTTAGTGATTTATCTTTCCAACGTTTTTTCCCCAAGGGTGGCTTTGATGTTCTCTTGATGCCTTCCCGCTGAGGCCTTCCTTGATCCGGCTCATTTCGCTCTTTTCAGGTCCAGGACAGCCTCACGCAAGCGGGTGACCCCTTGTCCAAGTGTGTGCAGTGGGCAGAGGGCTTCCTGTTAGTCTATTCCATCACTGACTACGACAGCTACCTGGCCATCCGCCCCCTGCACCAGCACATCCGGAAGGTCCACCCCGACTCCAGAGCCCCCGTTGTCATCGTGGGCAACAAGGGGGACCTGCTGCATGCCCGGCAGGTGCAGACCCGAGAGGGCGTCCAGCTGGCCAACGAGCTGGGCAGCCTGTTCCTGGAAGTTTCTACCAGCGAGAACTACGAAGACGTGTGTGATGCGTTCCGGCATCTGTGCAGAGAAGTAAGCAAGCTGCACAACCTGGGGGCAGAGAGGAGGAGAGTGCCGGTCGTCCCGCGGCCGCGCTCTCCCAACATGCAGGACCTCAAGAGGCGCTTCAAGCAGGCTCTGTCCTCCAAGGCCAAGGCCCCCTCTGCCCCTGCCCTGGGGTAGACACAGGACTGCCCGCTGCTCGACTTGTCTCCTTTTAACCCATGCATTCGTGCTACTGAGAAGACTGTGGGGGGGTCCCCCTTTTTAATCAGACGCTCAGAGTTTATTTTTATACAGACTGTTGGTTTTCAAGTGTATATGTATTTCTGAAAATTCACAGTGATTGCCTAGAAGCTGGATAAAGAGTGTTTGTTTTTGTTTTTGTTTTTTTTAATAAAAGATTTTTAAAAAACTAACAGCTAGCCACTTTTCCATTAAAGGGAAATGACGACCTTGCTCCTTTTTTTTCAATGTCTTTTTATAGAAATCATACTTGCACCAGAGCCCAGAACTGCTCTGAGCTTGCCCTGGGTCTGAACTCTGATTGGTGGCTTCCGCAGTGTGGGGTTGGTTTAGAAGGAATCTGTGGGAGAAAGAAGAGTCTGTGGAGGAGGAATGGGATTTGGATAGCTGCAGGATGGCTCAGCTGGGAAAGAACCTGCCTGCCAATGCAGAAGATGCAAAAGACTCGAGTTCAATTTCTGGATCAGGAAGATCCCCTGGAGAAGAAAATGGAAACCCACTCCAGTATTCTTGCCTGGAGAATCCCACAGACAGAGGGGCCTGGTGGGCTACAGTCCATGGGTTCACAAAGAGTTGGACTTGACTGAGCCTGCGCTCCCACACACATCTTTAATTAGGGCACTTTTCCCCAGGCATGAAATGGACACTGGGTAATTTTCAAGGAGAGAGTTTCCTTGTGCATAGATGCTGAAAAATGATAACATGAAAAACATTGTCATTTATGATTCAAATGGAAATTTATCCTCTACTTCACCTTAGAGAAGCAATCTCCCTTTTAGTATTGCCATTGTCAGTAAGTGCACCCTCCCTGGAGTTGCTTGAAAATTCTCCACCCCTCTCTGTCTCCCTTACTCTCACCAGTGTGACACTTGGTCTGTCTCTTCTCCTATTTTTCTCTAAAGCATCTAGGCCTTTGCAGCTCTTGCCTAGATTGGCAGGCAAGCATGTGGACAAGATTGGTTTCTCGGCAGAATGGTTTCTATCTTCGCACCCAGACAAACTTACTAAAACCAAACCTGATCATCTTGTTTCTGTGATTGAAAAAACTTAGTTTCCCCTTAGCTACTGGATAAAATATTAATGAGGCATGGAATCAGGATTTTTTTACCACCTCTCCAGATTCATTACTCCCTCCTTCCAAAACCCTTGCCGCCCTACACACACACACACACACACAGAGCTGACAATCCATTCCAACAGAACACTCTGCCTTTCTCATTTTTCACCAGGTTCTTTCATGCCTCCCTGCCTTGACACAAACTACTGCCTTAAATGTTTTGTCCTATTCTCCACCTAAAATGTCTTTCAAGTTCCATGCTCTATTCAACTGCCGGAGCACCCTCTTGGAATCTTCCTGTAGCATTTGTGTTATAACCCAACCTGCTTGAGGGCAGTCACGGCATTTTATGACTTTGTACGCCAGTGCTACTAGCCCAGTGCTTTCACATAGGCTGGCGAGTTTGCAGTAAATATTTGATGAATGAATGAGTGACTATATTATTTTTGGTGCCCACAACAATCAAGGCAGACGATGATGAAACAACTTGTCACTTCTGCAGAATGAGGGCAGGAGGCGTTCAGAGTAGTTGAAGGTTCTTTATTAGCAGTGGCAGAGAGGAAATATTGCTGACGAGTGTAGAACTCCTGAAACATTTGGCAAAATGTTGAAAACTTGGGTGGCTGAGGACAGGACAGTCTATGCACATTCATAAGGTTTGCCTTACCTCCAAAGTGTTGTCATCAGTCGGGGGGGGGGGCCACCTCCATCCTCACGAGGGAGGTGGAACTAAACATCCTTGGTCCTTCACCCCTCCCCCACATCATCACTCTGTCTTGAAATTCCTGACTCTTTCTTTATCCACCAATCATCCTCCTTCTGGTCAAGTTTCAACTTTAATTCTGCCCTTAAACTGCAGAATGATTTAATTAACATGCCTATCAGTGAGGTTCTGGAGGACTGGACGGGGTCCAAATGGCTAAGTGATACATCCTGCAAACATTCTGTACTTGACATGCGACCTATGAAAAAAGCAAACTTGAATGAAGGGGAAATAAATCAATTAGAACAGAAGAAAATAAATTTGTTTTGCTCATATTGAGATAAAGGGCACCACAGAAGTTCTGGAGTTTATTAATACCCCTTTCAAGAAAATGGATTAAAGTAAATAGCCATGGAAGGTGGCAGTGAATAAAAGAGCAAATAGGAGAGACCAGATGACTGTTTAGTCAAGAATGTGGGGCACAAGTAGCTTTTTTCCTTTGAATGTGTTGCAATTTTAACTGCTCATGATGCAAAGTTACCAATTCAAATTTACAATGTGAAGATATTTTGTGTGATTAATAGTTTATCCTTACCATTTGATCTGTCTCCAAAAGGAGGCTTAGAAAGACTTGGCTGAAATTTGTCTTAAGCTACTTTGAAAGATGTGATCTAGAGGGAGAAAAGTCCCCAAACAATGATTTTTCAAACACCATTAAGTTAGCCAGGGCTCAAGGTGAGTGAAACGTTGAAAGTGATGACTGGGCTGTGAGAGCAGACATTTCAGCAGAGTAGAAATTTGCCGGTCCCAAATGAAACATTTGAATGCCATCAGGTGCCTCCACCCCAGTAGAAAATCAGCTTTTTTAGGACTAGACCAGTCATCATCATTGAATTCAGCCCCACAGCACCTGTAAGGGTCTCCCATGCATAACAGCAACCCCCCAAAAGATATTTTGGGCACCCTCCATCAAACTGTCAGAGGTGGCTGTTCTCCACCTGGTGAATTGGGAAGAAAATGTTCTCCAGAGCTAGGTCTACTTGAACAAAACAGGTATCATCCCTTTAAAAAAAAGTTTTAATTTTTTAAATTGAAGTATAGTGGATTTACATTGTGTGCTAAGTTGCTTCAGTTGTGTCCAATTCTGTGCGATCCTATGGACTATAGCCTGGCAGCCTCTTCTGTCCATGGGATTCTCCAGGCAAGAAAACTGGAGTGGGTTGCCATACCCTCCTCCAGGGGATCTTCCTGACCAAGAAACTGAAAGCAGGTCTCCTGCATTGCAGGCGGATTCTTTACTATCTGAGCCACTTGGGAAGTGCTGTGTTGATTTTTTGCTGTACAACAAAGTTATTCTGTTACACATATACATACATTCTTTTTCATGTTCTTTTCCACTATGGTTTATCACAGGATTTATTTTCTTTTCAAAGATTTCTTTTGATTTGGACCATTTTTAAAGTCTTTTATTACTTCGTTACAATATTGCTTCTGTTTTTTCATATTTTGCTGTTTTGGTCCTGAGGGTGAGGCATGTGGGATCTTTGATCCCTGGTCAGGGATCGAACCTGAATCCCCTGTACTGAAAGACAAAGTCTTAACTACTGGACCACCAGGGAAGTCCCATTATCACAAGATACTGTATATAGTTACCTGTGCTATACAGTAGGACCTTGTTGTTTATCCACCCTATATATTGGGGTGGACAAAAAGTTCATTCAAAAATCCAACCGGCTCCAGTTTTCTTGCCTAGAGAATTCCGTGGACAGAGGAGCCTGGCAGGCTAAAGTCCATGGGGTTGCAAAGAGTCACACACGACTGAGTGACTAAGACTTTCATCTCCTTTGAGCATCATTTCATGTTCCATGAGGATTAATGCGTAAAGTTGTAAAAAACACTTGCTACCATTTCTTACTAGCACTCTCTATTTACATTAGAATAACAGTGTTAAAAACAGCAAAGATTATTTGCCTGGAAACGCTCACATGGATTTATAACTCGGGAAAAATTGGGAAGATTCAGGAGCTCCTGCCAAAGAACAGTTACCAAGCTGCCTTAAGGAGGCCGCATAGGTCTCTCCTGAGTGAGACCAACCTCACACCCTGCCTTGTCATCAGCCCCCTGTAAACTTGGGCAAAGTGAAAAAAAGAAGAGCTTCCTTATCTTAAATTGGACCTAACACTACCCATCAAGCAAAATTGTTGTCAGAGTCTGACACACACGAGGTACTCAGTTGTGGTTGTTGTATTATTGTTTTTTTTTTTAATTTTTAAGAAACATTTATTTTATTTATTTATTTGACCATGTGGCATGCAGAATCTTTGTTGCATCCTGCATGATCTTTCATGGCAGCAGTGCTCAGACTCTCTCAAGCTGTGGTTCTTGGGCTCAAGAGTTGTGTCATGCGGGCTTGGTTGCTCTGTGGCAGGTGGAACCTTAGTTCCCAGACTGGATATCAAACCTGCATCCTCTGCATTGCAAGATGGATTCTTCTTCTTTAAAAAAAATTTTTTTTAATTAATTCAATTTTTTAAATTGAAGGATAATTGCTTTACAGAATTTTGTTGCTTTCTGTCTAACCTTCAAAAAGGAGAGTATATATGTACCTGTGGCTGATTCATGTTGAGGTTTGCAAGATGGATTCTTAACCAGGGGACCACCAGGGAAGTCCCCTGTCACTATTACTATTTTGAAGTTGTTTTAGGAAAGGGCGTACTTGAACACTCTAAAAGGTATAAGTAGTTGCTTTGAACGATGTGATTTTTCCCACTTCACATCTGGGAAAAAGAAGGTTTGCCGAGGGGCAGTTATTCAATCAGTAATAATACCTAACAATTATTGACCTTTTACCATGTGCTAGCACCTTAATGTTCTCCCCAATCCTTTGGGTACCATTACGATCATTCCCATCTTTCAGATGAGGAAACTGAGGCTCAGAGAAGTCACACAGTCACACAGAAGCCAGGAGGCTTGGCTCCAGGAAAAATAAAGGATTTCGAAGGCTGCTTCCCTGGCCTTCCACAGGGCCCGCCAGCACCTCTGGGGGAATCCCTGGGACCCTGTTGCTAGTATTTGAACCCTGGAGGAGGAATCTGCACTTCAACGAGCACCCTGAGGTCCTGAGGCTGTCTCCTGTTTGAAAGCTCTGAGCAAGATGCCAGTCCGGGCTCCTGAACT